ATAGAAAACCTTAAGTGTGCGATTATCCTCAGAATCTCCACTAATGTTATATTCAAGAGTCAACTAAATCACCCTGAGTACCCTTGAGAGGAATACAAAGTTACAAACCAATCTTTTTTTTTCTGAATTATCGTGTTGTAAGTCTGTTTTTAGCGTAAAAAAAATTGATTCTTTTATGACTGAAAATGTATCAATTTGTTTTCGTTGTTTTAGAGCTTCAAGTCCAGTCGTTCTATTACGAACGAACTAACATCTGCCACCATCTTCACCCACCCCTTCCAAGTTGTAGTACACCCATACAAATAAGTTGCCAAGAAAGGTAGCTCTCTAATTGTTGAGATAATAGGTTTAAACTAAGTAGATGTGTATGTTTTAAAAAAGTTTTTAAGCATGCATATTAGTGTGCATCCGCCACTATGGGACACATTATTATGGACTTGTTAGGTCCTAAAATATAGTATTATTTGATTAGTCCCATTGTCACATTTGACCACGTAATAATCGATGTGCTCACAAAAATAATTCCAAACGGGCTAATATGGCTGAGAGTTAATGTATAAAATAGATTTAAGTTATTTATATTGATAGTGTAAATTATTTTTAATATTGTTAGTATATTTTAATCTATAAAAAAAATGTTTTATAGTGTTTATGAGATTTGTTTACCTCGAAAATACGAGTAACAATTAAATTTGATTTGTGGTTTAAAAATATGTGATTAAATTCAATACCAATTAATATTCAAAAAATATGAAGAAGAAATGGAGGAAATAAGTGAATCAAACCAATGTTACTCAGCGTGGTGACCTCGAGCTTAGTGACCTCGAGATGAACTAAGAGCAATAAAGTAAGAACAATAAATATAAAGGACAATTCTGATGAACAGTAAGAGAGAAAAGGAGGATTGTATATTCTTGCCAATGATTCGATTATCTTACAAATGCTTGGGGTCTTTGTATAGTAGGGGAACCCTAAATAAGGTACATTTCTATTTACAGTAAGAAGTATTATCTGCACAGCTGTCTAACCGCCCAGTACAGAATCGTACAATCCTATTCCGGGATTTGCGCCATGACCTTGGGGATGTGGCAGGAATCTAGCTCATTCTGTTACAAATCCATAACGGTACAATTTTGGGATCGAGCATACTTAACTTCGGTATTCCTCGCACTCCTATCTTCGGGCATTACATTCCGTCCTCAAGCTCGAGTTTAGTTTGTCAACCTCGAACTCGAGCTTACTTGAGCTCGGACCTGAGGTGCTCCCTCGAGCCTGGGAAATCGGGCGTGCCTGATTTCGACCGTATACAAGATTACCAATTATTTCTTACATAATTGCAAGAGGTTATAACTTTTTTAACACTAGGTATTATTTAGCGAAAGAATTACAAGAAAATACACGTGAATTCAAAATCTGTGTTCTTACCACCATTGTTCTAAAAGCTATGGAGTTAAATCTGTGTTCTCACAACCATTGCTTTCACTCTCTCTTTTTCTCACATCTTCTACGTATGCTTCAAGGGGCCATGTATTTTTTGTTTCTCCCCCTGTATCACCTGGTTGCAATGTAAGAAAATTAAAGAGTAGAAGTCCACCATTGAAGGCCATTCAAAGCTTTGCTTTCGAAAATAGAATTTTTTGAGTTTGTTAGTTGTTTGGATTGGGTGTTGTTCCAACTGATTGAAAATATCAAAAGGAGTTTAAAATTTAAATTTGAAGTGATTTGGAGTAGATTTGAGTTAAATTTCAGAAAAGACGCAAGGAAGAAGACGAAGTCAGTTTTTTTGTATAATTATGTATAATCTTGCATAATAGTGTATATGAGTGTATAAACACATCTTATACACCATTATACATTTTTATACACCTTTATACAATCTTCTGTAGTTGAACTTCTTCCACGATTTTCAGTTGCAATTCTTGTTCAAAACCAGTCTAAATCTTCCATTAAATGACTTCAAATTTTGTATACAACCTCTTTATACTATTTCTAACAAGTCTAAATAACACACACTCCAAATTTCTCACAAAATCAAATTTGAAATTTAAGCCCACATATTTAAGCTTGTTAAAAATCTAATTTTTACCATCCAAATGGATTTGGTTCGTTGAACTACTAATTGAGTCGCAGTTACTGATTCGAAAATTAACTTAAAAGCTTGAGTAATTTTTTTTAAAATTAAATAGTAATTTTGAGAACCTATTGGAGTTGGATGTTGAATCCTAACCTATTATTTTTGGGCTAGTCGGTTGTAAATTGACATGTGGGCTATAAAATTGAAAAGTAGGGAGCCAGTTGTTGTCATGTGAAATTTTCCCTTATTTAACCTATAATAATAGAGAAAATCTCACTTTATACCCATTAATTCCAAACTATTTACCCTTTAATACCCAGGCCCAAACTATTTACCACTCCTACCCATGCGACCAAGACTATTTACCCGCTAATTCCAGCCGCAACCTGCAAACAAATGGAATAGTTCCCGCTAACAAGGAATCTTGAAAGAGAACCTCAAGTGGTGAAATAGAGATTCAAACATTGGCTGAAAAATCTGCCTTCGAAAAAATAGGCCAGGATTTGTGCAAAAATATGAAAAAGTTTGTGCAAAAGCATGAAAAATCTGACAAATCTCGTATCATTCTCCGACGAAGTCGATCTTCAGGTCTGTTCTCTTTTTTTTTTTTTTGTCAAAACAACTAAATTTGTGCAAAAACATGAAAAAAATACAATCTTTATGTCAGGATTCGCTGTATTTATTTTTTTTAATTAAAATTTCTGAATTTCTTTTCTTGAAATTAAATAGGTATTCAGGAAAAAAGAGTTGAAAAAAATGGCAGAGCAGAAGCAGCAAGTGGGATCTAAAAAGTGAATCAGCTTCGACCATCGAATTTTGGGGTTAATATAACTGTAAAGGTTATTAGTAAAAAGCCAATTGTATAGAAAAATCGTCTTGCTGAGTGTTTGGTGGGTGATGAAACTGGAATTATTATTTTTACTGCCCGCAATGATCAAGGTAATTTTTTTGCTAGGATTGAGAAAAAAGAATCTTTTATCGTAAGAATTGGCTTGTATCATCAATTGGGAACAAATATTATTAAGATCTTGTCATTGATGGTTGAAGGGGTAACTGATTTAAATGATTTTGCTGTTTTTCATTGTTGTCATATGTCTGACTTCTGCTGTGTGTATTGCATGTTGCGTGGAAGCCGAAGAATGAGTGTATTGAGATTTATTGAGTCTTCGTTGTTCAAATTGGCATATTTTAGACATACTGGGTGAAACTTATAAATGTCTAGCTAATTAATAGTGCAAGTTGAAAGGGTTCGATGGTGTAGTTAAGGATCTAATTTTATTTGAAATTTGGAAAAGATTGTTGGTTTTTTGGAATTCAGTAGTTGCTTCAATGTTCCTTTCCCTTATTTCTTTATACTTTATGTTCGTTCCCCTCTGTTTTTTGGTTTTGCCTTCTTCCCTTTTCTCTTTTGTTCTCACTAACGTTTTCTGTTTGCAGGTTGCGGCTGGAATTAGCGGGAGGAAAAATTTGATAGCATTGGAGCTGATTTGAGGTGATTGAGGAAATTTCAGCTGAAAATCTAAAAAGAACACAGCTACCCAATAGTATACTGGTACGGTATACAATATGCTGTAGGAGTATATAGCTATACTGCAACAGTATACTATTATAATTTACAATATACTGCAACGGTATATTGTAATAATCGAAGAAGAACACAGTTACCTAACAGTATACCGCTACAGTATACAATATACTATAGGAGTATATAGTTATACTGCAACAATATACTATTATAGTATATAATATATTGTTATAGTATACTGTCACAATATGCAATATACTGTAACATTAGGCTGTAATAGTATACAATATACTATAATAGTACACTTATTATCCGTAAATTCACTTGCCTTTTCCCTTTTAATTTGCTTTAAGCTTTTACCTAGCGCGAGGGGTAAAATTAAAAATGCAAAAAAAAAAAATATATATATTATGCTATGTAATGTAACGGTATACTCTTACAATTAGATCCTTTTAGAATTTTTTGAAATTTTTATTGACAAGTGATATTATTTCAGTTTAATAATTGAATTAATTTTTTTAACTCTTTGCGTACAATTGTATACCCTGTTGGTATAGCTATATACTATACTGGTATCATATGTTAGTTAATATTTTCTGATTGTATTAGCTACATTTAATTGGTACACAATTTGATTTTTCTTTAGTAATAATATAAAAAAAAGAATAATAAAAAATAGTGAAAACAGTAAATGAAATTAGATTATGAAGAGAAAAAGAATATAAAAAAAAGAAGTTAAATAAAATTAGAAAAGGAAAAAAGAAAAAAATAAGAAGAAAACGAGAAAAAAAAGGAGAAAAGAAAAAAAGAAAAGAAGCATAGAAATAAAAAAGAATTGGAGAATAAAGAAAAAATTTGCCACAAAAACTACTATGGGTAGGAAATGTAATTAGTTTATGGGTAGAAAAACAAATGGGTAGACAAGGATAAATAGTTTTGTTTTTGTGGGTAACTGTGTCAAAACCCCGTAATAATAGGTTAGTTACTATTTTATCAAATTTTTAGTTTATTTTCCATAAAAAAATACTTATACTTTATAAATAAAGTGATTATGTAAAATTCCTTCCACCATCCATATATAATACTCCTACTACTGTATTTATTAATTACTGTCATTAATAATCAGAACCAATGAGATTATGATAAGTACAAAAGTCTTGCAGGAACCAATTTCCTCCAACCTACACAGCACTTTACAACGTTACTCCACCAATATTCTTGTAATCTGTGTCATCAATGATGTGTCTTCTTCCAACTTGTTGCCCAATTAACGACGCCGTTAACAGCTTCTTCTCATTTCCTCTTCCTCAAAATCAAAACCGAGTGAACGCCGTGAAAGACCGTCAAAAATCCACGTCAAAGCTGTTATTCAACGCTCTACACTATAATAATTCCCACGTCTACAACGCATATCTTCTTCAGTCTTCTTCTTCAACGGTACCAAATTTCTCCACCTAACACGCTCCCATTTGTCACCGTTCAATCACCGGAAAATTCGCCGGAACCATTCAAAAAGCTCATCGTTGATCTGTTTTCACCTTATCTATATACTAAGCTTCCGATCATCCATTTCCTCTTCGGTTCTTATTCCTCCGTTAATAAGAATCCGCTCGTTGTTCTCTGCCTTTGAATTTCTCTATTTAACTTTATTTCTAATTTTTTTCCCCAAAATCCAATTTCTGAAACCCTAATTTCCGATTTCCCAAAGCTTCTAGCTCGCTTTTCTATGGCCCATTTCAAGTAAATTCATATATGGGCCTATTATGAATCTCTAGGGCTTTGGGAAGTTTTAATTTGGTTTTGTTCTTTTTTTTTAATTTGTACAGTTTCGATCTGTGAAGAGGAACACAGATTGTATGTAAAGATGGGTTTGTGAAAATCTTGGTAAACTATCTTTTGTTTTTAGGGGTTTATACTTTTCAGGTTGATTTGATTTTTTTTGGAATTTAGGGTTTGAAAATTTTGGATTAGTGGAAAGATGTCTTCAGCTGGGGTGATTGCGATTAGTCCTATGTGCAAAGAATCTATGATGATTCCTGCGGATTTCCATAGCCAAGAATCAATTTTGATATACGTGGCTATGTCAGGGTCAATGGTACCAATGAGGGTTTTGGAATATGATTCAATTGACTCTGTGAAGCTTCAGATTCAAACCTGCAAAGGGTTTGTTGTGAAAAATCAAAAATTGGTGTGTGGGGGCCGAGAATTGGCCAGAAGCAATTCCCTCATTCGGGATTATGGAGTTGGTGATGGAAATGTTCTCCATTTGGTCCTTAGGTTATCAGATCTTCAGGTCATCAATGTGAAAACTTCTTCTGGTGAAGAGTTTACCTTTAATGTGGATAAGAGCAGGGATGTCGGATATGTGAAGCGTCAGATTGCTAAGAAAAAGAAGGGTGCTTTAGGAGATATTGATGAGCAAGAAGTGCTCTGCAATGGTGAAAGACTTGAAGATCAGAGGCTTATACATGATATCTGCAAGAACAATGATGCTGTGATTCATTTGTTTGTGAGAAAATCTGCAAAGATTAGAGCAAGACCGGTGGAGAGGAATTTTGAGCTGTCTATTGTGGCACCACAACTGAATGATGACAAGGTTACGGAGAGCAATAGTGGGAATGAAATACTAGACAATAAGCTTTCGGTCCCTAGGGAGCCTCCTGATAGGGCGAGTATTTTGGAACCTATCATTGTTAACCCAAAGATTGAAGTGCCTTTGGTGATTAGTGATTTGATTGGCTCTACACTTGAAGGGTTAGATAGAGGACATTATCCTATTAGATCCTCTGAAGGCACAGGAGGAGCCTACTTTATGCTTGATGCAGCAGGGAGTAAGTATGTTTCGGTGTTTAAACCAATTGATGAGGAGCCTATGGCTGTGAATAACCCGCGAGGGCTGCCTTTATCAGTTAATGGCGAGGGCTTGAAGAAAGGAACAAGAGTTGGAGAAGGTGCTTTGAGGGAATGTGCTGCTTACCTTTTGGATCACCCAAAAAGCGGTAGGCGTTCATTTTCTGGTGAGGCACTGGGCTTTGCTGGTGTTCCACCAACTCTCTTTGTGAGGTGTCTCCACAGCGGATTCAATCACCCAGATGGTATCACCCCTAAGATTGGCTCCTTGCAAAAGTTCATTGAGAACAAAGGAAGTTGTGAGGATATGGGTCCCAGTGCTTTTCCTGTAGGGGAAGTGCATAAGATTGCAGTGCTTGATATGAGGATGGCGAATGCAGATAGGCATGCAGGGAATATTTTAATGAGCAAAGGCGAAGATGGGCAGATTGTCCTCATTCCAATTGATCATGGTTACTGCTTGCCTGACAGTGTAAGTGTTCACCTTTATTTTCCTTTTCTTTTGGTGTATGATGTGAACAGTTGGTGGATGCAATTATTCTTCGGTTATTAAAGTAGTTGCAATGTGATGTTAATTATCTTTTGCAATTTTGTTTTCTGCTCTAACATATCCCTCCAGTAAGTGACTTTATGATTTTGAGTATGAATTCGGAGGCATGTTGTCTTAGTTTCATTCATTATGGTCAAATTTTGGTTGAGGGTGGTATAGACTGACTTCAAAATCAATGTATCTCCAATGGAATAGTTTCCCCTGATTTCAACATACTTACAAGCTTTGAAATGATAAACACAAATCCAAGGATTAAAAGCATATCATTTTCATGTCAAGTCTCAGTATGATTTTTATTGGCTAGAACACCTATGAGAAAATAGGGAGCGATTGCAATGATGATAACATTTTCCCAGCTCAGTATGAGACCTTATCTTTTAAGGTCGGGGAATATACTCCGTTTCCAACACATATGTCTGAGCTTCGCCCCTAGAGAAAAAAGAACCCCAAAAATAAGAAGAAAATAACACCTATGAGAAGCTGTGGTCTTTACCAAACTGACCACCTTTTTTTACCTGCCCCTTTGAGAGGCCTGCTATTATCTGCACTATATGAGGCATAAAACGCGTTTGAAGTCCAAGTAGTGTGCTCTTCTAGAAGAAGTTCTGGAGTACAATTAATAGAAAATGTCATTGCTTTCTGCCTTGATACAAGTAGCAAAAACTTCTGTGAAATTTGAGAGTTGTGAATGCTTGTTAGGCTGCTTGTTATATTTTCTCTCGCTCTCTCTTTAATTCAGGATTGACAATCGATGGAAATCAATTAGACTTCGGGAAAATTTGTGTCGTTTGGTTCTGATCAGTTGGTTTATCTATATGCTATTTCAGTTTGAAGATGTCACTTTTGACTGGCTGTATTGGCCACAAGCTCGTCAGCCTTTTAGCTCCGAAACCATTGAGTACATAAAATCACTTGATGCGGAAGAAGACATTGCCTTGTTGAAGTTTTACGGGTGGGACATGCCTTTGGAAAGTGCCCGCACACTCCGCATCTCTACTATGCTTTTGAAGAAAGGTGCAGAGAGGGGCCTCACGCCATTTACCATAGGGAACATCATGTGCCGCGAGACCTTGAACAAGGAATCTGTGATTGAGGAGATTGTTCAAGAAGCACTGGACTCTGTGCTTCCTGGCTCAAGTGAAGATGCATTCCTTGAGACCATCTCACATATAATGGATCAACGCCTTGATGAGATTTCCTATTGATATTTCACTGAAGAATTGGTATATAGGTGTACATAGGAGAGTCTGCGGACATCTATTGTCTGCATGCATCAACTTCAAGAGAATATCCTGATTTCATTGCTTTCAATTTGTTTTCGCAGTTAACTGGAAATGACCTAGCTAGGTTGTGACCAAGTTCTTTATCTCGGTGTCAATTCTCAAACTACTGTAAAGTTTGTTCATCTTTTTTTATGCTGGATTAAGTCGAAGACACAATATCCTTTTCCTCATAATAGTTTCGTTCTTGTATACTTATTAAATATGTTTGCAGGAGCCAAGGCTGTTGACATTGTTGCTAGTTTTAGCCCTTTTGGGTGGTACATAACTCAAGTAATGAACAAAGCTAAGATCTCAACAGATCTGTTTTATTGTACAAAGCTGTACACTATTTTTTTCAGAGCTCTTTCGACTTGAATAGATTCAAGGTGAATGTTTGCTAGTAGATCCAATTAAATAATTATTCAATACTAGAGGCTAATACATTGCCGCACCTTTCCACCTTTTGAAAGGATGGGTTTGGTATGAAGTGGGACATCATTTCATTTTTATTAGACCCTAACTTGATGCCGAGTTCACTTCAAACGTAATTATGCAAACCTTATTTCTCACTCAAAACTCTTTTAAGTAATTGTTAAACCTCCAATCCCCTACGAAATCACAATTCACTGATTGAGAATCATCTTAATATCAATCAATTGACTTCAGTTTGTTCTTTCCGAAAACCATTTCAATCCTTTACTAGCTGACAACAAATCTGTAATTAAACTAAGAAAGACTAAATATCAGATTTAATGTAACTATTAGATCAAACGTGTTTTTTAACTCATATACGGGTCATCTGTGTTGCCTACTACACCAAAATGAAATGCTTAGGAGGATTTTGTCTGCTCAGTTGGAGAAAAAGGACAAATATGATACAAATAGTAACCAAACTATTTTTGTTAAATTCTAACAAAAGGACAAATTAAACAAAAATTATAGTTTAGGAGCAAATATAGGCTTTTTTCCCTTGTATGAATTTTTGCTGCTTACAAATTTTTTTCAACATTTGTTCCTTCACGAGAAAGAAAAGGAAAAAGGGTTAACTAGCACTTTCCTTAATATTGACAGAAGAAGACAAATCACTGTAGCAGATCCAGACCATTTAACCAAGCAGTCAGTGATAAACTCCTAATTTCTCTCTTTTCTCTATTTGCCTTTGTCTCTCTTGTTTTTTTCCTTTTTCTTTAGTGCTAATGATATGATACCCCAGCACTTTATTGACATATCTCTCCCCTTTTCCTATTTCACATTCTTGCCACTAAATTTGCCCAAGTGGGGGCTGTTCAAAAGCGTTAATCTTTAGCAATGTTTGATCCTTACAGATCTAAACCCAGTAGTAGAGGCCGCACTAATTTGGCTTCATGTTGTGTTGCCACTTTCTTCTTGATCTTACTCATTGTAGGCATTATTGTCGTCTACTTCTTCCTTTTCAAACCCAAAACTCCCAAAATCGCCGTCGACGCCGTTCAATTCCCCACCTTCTCCGTTACTAACGGCAGCGTTAACTTCACTTTCTTCCAGTACGTCTCCGTTACGAACCCAAATCGCGATGAGTTCACTCACTACGACAGCTCGCTTCAGCTCAGTTACTCCGGCGAGCCGGTGGGTGTTGTATTTATTCCAGCCGGTAAGATCGACGGTGGTCGGACGCAGCATATGTCGGCGAAGTTTGATGTTCAGTCTTACCCTCTTCCGGCAACTTTGAGAGCTGATGTTTCCGGCGGGGTGGTTTCGACGGCGGCGGCGAACGGCGGAGGTGGGGTTGGAAGGGGACCCACAATGGAGGTGGAAACGAGGATGAAGTTAGTGGGGAGAGTGAGGGTGTTGAAGGTGTTTACACATAGGGTGGATAGTGGAGTGAAGTGTAAAGTGGTGATTCAAGTCAGCAGTGGCTCTGTTTTAGGCGTCCGTTGTTGATGCATGATTTTCTTGCTGTTAATTAATTACATTTTCAGCTTCTCATCAAGGGATTGTTAAAAGGCAAATTGCAGATGTATTTGTATTAGAAATTAGGCGAATGCAAGTGCAAAAATTGATGAAGATTGTTTTTTGTGCTTTGGCTTATGTATGTATATGACGATTTACTAAGTTTGTCAGACTGCAAGATGTTTTATGAATTGTTAAAATGGTCCTTTTGGCCACTTCCAGATTTGTCATTCTTGTGTTAGAGTTGTATTAGTCTTCTTTCTGCATAGTTCCAATTTTCTCAAAATTTTATACCAAAATGGTGATTTGCACTTTTGACCAACTTGCTCATTTGCGCTAATTTACAGTTTAAGCAAGTCAGCAAGTTGTTAGTATGAATGGTAAATGGATGTAAGTAGAGTTGAGCTATAAGCTGTAGCTGAGTTATTTGGCTTTTAAATCCTCACATAAAGCGATTCTATTTCTATACATTACTACAAATTTGGAATGCAGATTATGGTAAGAAAACTAAGATGCAGTTATGGAGGTCTTATTTATGGAATTTTCTCTAATATAACATGGTTTCTTTTCATGTCAACTAAGATTCTATTCGGCAGTAAATTCAGTTCTTGCTGTTGCAACGTCTTCTATTATAACGCTGAAAGGTATTAAAACAACAAAGATGAAAAATTTCAAAGATGGATTCCCTCTAGTATATAAAAGAAAAAAGATTTCCTGTCACATAAAGGTCCTATTATTCACATTTTTGCATATTTACAAAATCCACAAGATTTTCACTTCAATGTATGATTCTTGGAAATCAAATGATAAGGGTATCCCATGTTAACAACAAGAACAACAAGAAGACAGCTTCTCAATTTCATATTGCAGGGTATCTCTCTAAATGAATGATCGCCTGTTTCAAGCTCAAACTGACTTTTCTTAACTTTGGACCTCAGAAACGGAGAATACAAAGATACAGAGGATACTAACTCCAGAAAAATTGTCAAAGGCAGCATGTAAAGAATCAATTTGCAAATCAAGTCAACACAGACCTCTAAATCACAATAAACTTTCTACTTTTAATAATGTGATTTTCACAGAAGAGCTTTAACAGTTTTGATATAATTACACAGCCATCCACATCAGGGAGGTGTCTAGAGATGCACAGAGGGAAGTCACTAAACCATCATAAATACAAAAAATTTCCATGCAGTCTTTCAGCTGTGGAAGGATTCCTAATTATTCATTCTAGGATAATTGCAGCAACTGAATATATACCATGGAACTCATCTTTGAGCACCTTTACCGGGGAAAGAAACAAATGATAATGAACAAGAGTCACCTTAGTCAACTCGTTGCTTCAGGCCCAGATTTCAAATGTCCATTAAAATTCAAAGAACAATACCATCTCAGCTAACTGTGAACGCCCCGCCACATGCAGTACATGGTGTTAGAAAGACTCTAGGTCCATGACATAACATTGTTGACTAATAGAAACTAGGCAACTGAGTTCCATAATAGCCAGCCCTGTCATAGGTTGAGGAATCATTCAGCAGCTAAAAATATGCCATCACGATCTCCCATTTGACTAAAAAACAGGCTCAACCTCAGGGAACATAAGAAAAGCGTCCAATTAGAGGAAAAAACAGAAACCGATATAGAGCTCTCCTTTTAATTTCTCAAAGTACATAACATTTCCTCAGTTATGAAGAATCAATTAACAGGGGCTGCCTCTGCCAGTCTGCCTTTAAGTTCCTCCTTCAAAAACAGAAAAATCGCGGGATCAGTTTTCCAATCATTGATTCCAAAATCTTTCGAAAAAATTACTAGAAAATATCACGCGGGTTGTACAAGAAGAATCCGATATGGTAATATAGTTTTCAACTCACATACAACTTTTCATTGTTTTCATGAGTGTTACTTAGGGCTGTCCAGTGTTGTGACAGCGAGCGCTTCCTCGCTTAAAGCGAGAAGCGAAGCGAGGCGAGCCATCGAACACTTCTGTTAGCTGAAGCGTAGTAGGTTTTAAAAAGCGCTCGCTTCCCATTAAAAAGCGAGAAGCGACAATGCGAAGCGATGTGTAAGAAGCGAGCGCTTCTCTGTATTACAGGGCTGTCAGCGTATTTAATTAAAAAAGCTGTTCTTTTTTTAAAAGATCATGGACCAGTAGCAACAGAGAAAGAAAGAGGCGACTTAGGGTTCAAGTTTTCTACACTTTTCAACTTCAAGATCATGAAGTTTGGTCCAGGTATGTGATTTCTTCTTCCTCCTCCTCCTCCTCCTCCTTTTTCTTTTTTCTTTCACTGTTTCAGCGTCCAAATAGCAGCGAAATGCTGGCGAATTATTTTTTTCCCCTTCAGTTCTTCTTTCTCATTCTTCTCCTCTTCTTCTTCTTCATTTTCTTGCACTGTTTTTTTGTTTGAATTGCTGCCCAATTTTTTCGTTTCAGTTATACTTATACTGCCATTCTTCTTATTTTCATATCCTTTATACTTAGTTCTTATTGCCTTTCTTATATGTTATGTAGTTGTTCTTTTAATGGCACCAAAAGAAGATTTGACAATCTTGTAGAAGAATAGGATGCTCATTTTGTGCTTTAATTGATGCTACTCTTTAGTTTTTACATTGAAGTATTGAACATTTGCTTACAGTTACATGTGTTGTCTATGCAGTATTTATTTTAATATTTTTTTTAAAATTCTGCTTCACTTCAAAAAAGCGAGCGCTTCGCTTCTCGCTTTAAGCGAAAAGGGGCTTGTCATTTTCCTCGCTTCACGCTCTTCACAACACTAGGTTGTCTAATGGTATGGTCTTACCGGTACAGGTACCGGACCGTACCGCTCCGTGGTTGGGTAGGGGTGGGGGATTTGAGGCGGAGGGTGAGGGTAAGGGTAATGGTAGGTACCCGGTTTTGTACCCTTAGTACCGGTACAGGAAGCACCCATAAGGTACCGTACTGGTACCCGTACCCAACAGTATTATTTTTTTTTTAAAAAATCTAGCCGGTTTTATACCGTTAGCCAACGGCCAAAAATGGTTATCTTTGCCTCCCTAGCCCCCAACATCCCCCTAACCCCTAATTTTGTTAAAATACTCTCATATCTCTAATTGCAATTAACATCGGATCGTTGGGTTTTGTACAATCATTACAACTCAAATAAATTTTCGCATTTATTTTTGCTATACTTGTGTAGCTATTTGTTTTAATTTTAATCATTTATTATAAAAATGGCTCCTAAACTGGTAAAAAAAGTGTGTAATAGATCTACTAAGGATAATGCTAGGAGGGGGATCCTCGTTTTGAAACAAATCCTAACCAGTTCGGGTTTAGGAGTTACATACAAGAAACATATAATCCTGTTTTTCCAAGTTTTCTTAGAACAACTATTAGAAATAATGTTTGCGATGAAGACTTGCTGAAATATTTGAAGAGAAGAAACTTTGGCCTTCCAGAAATAATTCAAGAAGACAACGATGCCTGTAATGAAATAGTATCTACGGGAGAGAAGAGGGACGCAGAAGAACAAGTGCTATCAAATTCAAGCGAATAACCAATAGAAATTATTGAAAATCTCCGTATATTGAGAAAAATATGTAATTTTATTTTTATAAGTATTGAAATAAAGTAATAAATTTTTTTCATCCATTAAAGCTTGTTTGTTTTTAAATTAAAAAAAAAAATTTAATTTAAAATACCCCTAAAGTACCGGTACCTCACCCTTAAGTGGGTACTGGTAGGGTACCCAAAAATACCCTTAACCCTTACCCTTAAATACCGTTAAGAAAAGTACCCTTAAGGAACCCTCCCCTTACCCTTACCCTCCCCTTAACCCTTAATGTCCCCGTACCCTCTCCTTAGACAGCCCTAGAGTAAACCAACACACTCTTTTTTTCTCTAGCTTATCTCAATGAAGCTTACAGTGCTGGTAGATCCCTGTGATTTCAAAATCAGAGGGACATAACCGCAACTATAACTAGAAGGAAAAGACAAGTTGATTTTGTTCCCAAAGGAGGACACAGGAAAATGAAGGGTAATTTTATTTTTAAAAGGAAACTGAGAGGTAGATAAACAAAGTCAAGGAACACTATCAAATTTTTTTCCCGATCAATTCAAATATAGAAATCAACATAGAAATCAACGCATATCAAACAAAGGCCTTATTGATGTTCTCATCTTCTATTACAATCCTAAGATGAGTGTATCTCATAAAAGATGGGGATGCTATGTTTAATCTGTCTGCTTGTATGTTTTTACTATGTCTATGGTGAGGGTTGATTTTGGCTCCTTGGAAGCAAGTTAAGCAGTGCCGATAATTAAAATTCACCTGGACTCTTTGGCAGGTACAAGAGCCATCTTTAAATTTTGAAATTTATTGCACAAAATTTCATGTACTGTAATAAAGTATCATAAGTTCACAATAATCTATCACCAACACTACCTACAAAATTTAATACCTGAAAACACCAACATAACAGCTATTTAGAAGTGGGCTTCTTTAGCTTCCTCCGTGACCTCCTCCTGAAAAATATGAAAAGTAAAATCAAAATAAGAATTCTAATCTAGGGCATCATATTGTTCACCAGAAAAGATGTGCCAGTAATAAAATTTGGGGACAGGCGTATGGTTGCAGTGTACCTCTTCTTCATAGGTTTTCCAGTACCAAATAGACCCTTCATTACTGTAGATACATCCAAAGAGCGTTCACGCATGATTTTGTCATGGTATATCTTACTTCCAATATCCGTGATAGCTTCCTCCACCTCTTCCAATGTCTGGTCCACATTGAGCTGCAGCTGCCCTTTCTTGATAACCGTCACATTAAAACCATTTGCTTTGGCCTCCCGAAAAGCATCCTGCACCGTAGTCAATAATGTAACAACAAATAATTTCCTCAACAATGTTCAATTCTTGATAACGGTATTCTGATCTACAACATAACAGGCTAAGAGAAGCAAAAGGAAAGCAGAGAACAGGAACAAGTCATCAGCTATTTCAGTTTTTACAGAGTGAGAAGTAAAAGAATAAAGAAATAGAGCGGAAATGGAGTCTATCTAGTTTAGCATATTAAGCATTTAAACAATACACAGTAGCATTAATGGCATACCGAGCTTGGGACGGCAGGAACATTTAGCACATTTATACAATTTAAAGATTTCTAGGAAATTCATCCAGAGAGCAAAAAGTCCTACTTTCTTTTGTCCAACTACACAACATCCTAACAATTTGAAAGGAGATTGCTTTTAGAAAAACACAAATCCATAAATGTTCCTAAAATGTGATACACATGCTTATCAATATGCATTGGGACAGTTATAGGAGCTCACAGAAAAAACATTAACCAGAGACAACCCCCCCCCCCCCCAAAAAAAAAAAGAAAAGAAAAACACCTCTTATGCACTAGATTTCTCCACCAATGATGTTATCAAAACCGTTTTAGATTTGAAAGCACTGTCATTATGTACAGAATAAGGCGTAGGACCAGTTAATCAAAGAAATGTGGTTACACCACAAACAAAAAAATTTACCTTAGGAGGTCGTGCAACAACAAAGGCATTCCCATTGCCAAGCATTTCCATATGAGCCTGTATTATATAGCAAAGGTTCTTACAGTCGCCAGCATCCTCAAAAGCAATTACGTGATACTGCTTGGGATCCAATTCCAGATCAGCGGCCATCTCTAGTGAATAGAATCCTACCTTCATCTCTCCTTCTTCCTCGGTGTATAATTCAATACACTACAAACAGAAACAAATATTGTTTGAGAAATCACGATGTAACTGGACAATACATAATAAGGCTAGAGGGCCTTAACATCGGAAAACTAAAAGAATCCTTCCAGCAAATAGCTCCGAAAATGTCTCGATATAAGTCTTTGGACAAGATGTGGACCAATAACCTCTAGGTTGCACGGGTTCTATCTTACTGCAGTAGTAGTGGTTTATTTTGGCAGGAATGTCACTGTTAATAAAGGAACTAGGAAACAGTCTGTCTGCAGTAAAAGGTAACGGTGTCATACACGTCTTAATCATATGATCACCCTGCCCGGAAGAGAAGAAGCCTCGCATATGAGGCCATGCTCTTCTTAATTTAATTGATTAACTTCTTTTTTTAAGTTGGAAAGTTTACAAAATGAAAAATAAAATAGTTACCAATATACAGGGTAGATCAAGCCACCATAGGTAGTCCTCTTCCCTTTCATCTGCATATTCACGATATTTGCTCACTACTGCCTGGGGTCCAAACAGTTCCATTTCTCTTTTGACCCTGTCAAGTTTCTCTTTGATAAGCTTCTTTCCCTTCTCGGGTAAGTTGTCCAATAGATCAGCAGCTTCCTTTATTTCTCTTTCCGTAATCCATCTATCCAAGTCCTTCCCTACATCCTTCATTACAGCTTTAATTTCCGGGTCTGTCTCTGCGTTGTAGGACTCCAAGAACCCCTGGGACCATTTCTTTGTATGCTGCCAGTACTCTTTACCAGATTTCTTGCCAGCTCTGATGGAACCATCACTACTTTCAATGATGGTCCTGGGAGCTGAAGTCGAATCAATTTTATTGCTTGATGGAGATTCTTGCAATCCTTGAGGCAAGTCTTGTCTTTCTTTCTTTATGAGATTTGAGTTTTTTATGCTTTCAGCAACTACCTTTCTCTCTTCTGCAAAGTACTCTAGGAACTCAGAACTTCTTTCCATTGGTGGACCTTTCCAGCGAGGTATAATTTTCTCCGGTTGGTCATACAAACTGATGCCATCTACAGCAAAAGAGGGTTTTTAAAAAAGTAGCTTGCTCAACATAACCTTGAAATTGCAAAATAATTTTGTGTTTTTTCTCTACCATCCGCTCACCCCCAACCCCGACACCCTAAAACAAGAAGGAAAACAAAATGAATCCTAAAGAAATCAGAATTTTGTGCCTGAAGGTGGCTCAGAAATAAGAAAAGGGACAAATATGATGAACAATAAAACTTAATTATCGAGCTGTATCTTTCAAAATGTTCACCAGGTATAATGACTTTAGCATTTATTTATCCTATTTCCACGAGGGAGTAACTAACTTTAAACATTAAGAAAAACTTAATACCTGCTCCATAATCAAGGTTTTCAATGTTTGAGTGGAGCCACTTGTGCAAATCCATTAGTTGTTTATTCTCTTGATCAACTTTCTTCTCAAGGCCACTGAAGAAGACAAGTTTATCTTCATCATCCATTTGAGAAAATGGATCTCTACCAGCGAGCTCATTTTCTCTAACTTTAAAAACAATTTCTTTAAGTCTCTCATCTTTCATCCACTCAAGCTCGCTGACATTCTCATTAGTCTCAAGATGAAACATCTGAGTTTTCAGATTCAGCTCCTCATCAGATTTCTCCTTTGCCACTAGGTAATTATCCCTAAACCCTGTCTGAATTTTCTTAATGACCGGTTCAAATTCATGGAAATTCTTTTCCAACCAGCTTCCATTATTTGGTGATGGTTCCAGTTCTGCAGTTCTGCCATTACCGTCTTGATCAGAGAAAGTTTCAGGTAATTCAGTATGTACGACTACTTTATCAACATGTTCAGGAATGTCATTGGATGGAAAGATTTTGATCTCATCAGTCAGTTGTGAGCTCACATAACCAACTGTTCCTTCTTGGTCAGGTGACGGGGAATCAAGTGGTTTAAGCTCTTCATATCTGTTGTTGTCATCATCATAAGAACTTTGACTTGGATGACTTTTCGCTTTGTTCTGTACAGATACAGCACCGTTGCTGGTTGGAAGAAATTCTTTTCGTTTGAAACTAGAATCTTCAGAAGAAAAATCAGATGTTCCCCATAAAGGCAACGGGTCAAATTCTTTTCCTGCATTAGCAGACAGCTGGTTCACATCACCACTACTCTCCTTTTCTATTAGTGGTATTGATACCTTCTCACCCTCTGGATCACTTTCAGCGATACTTTCTTGCTTCGCTTTCAGTTTTGAGAGGTACTCCCTAGCTTCCTTAACTGACAGAATGATTTTTGATTTTGATGCCACAGAAATTTCACTAGGCTTGCTTGATTGGCCAGACATTAGAACAGATTTTTCAGTTACTTCAGTTCCATCAGTTGAGCTTACATCATGTTTTGACTGATGTACATTTTCCATAGAGCTTTTTATATCATCTGGAGGTTCTAAATTTCTGCTAGAGGTCTGCACTTCATGACTAAACAGTGAAGATGAACCGGCATGGACTCCATTATCCTCAAACAATTTCTGTTCAACAACTTCCTTTTCATTAGAGTGTTCGATTGAGGCTGGATAATCTCCTCCATTATCAGCTTGAAGAGAATTTCCTTTTTCCTGTTCTCGTGCATGCCTCGCCATCTTTCTGATTTCTTGAATCTTATCATAGAATTCGGCATCCTCAAACTGCTCATTCTGAAACTGCTCTGGTAATGCTAAACTACCGTCGTATAGCTTATCAAGCCGAGGCTTTTCCAGGGACATGTTATCTGGCTCTTGGATAACTTCCACCTCACCTTTCACAGTCTTCTCCCTCTCCTTTCTAGCTATCATCTTCCTCCTCAGCATTTCCTTCTCCAACCTTGAGTACTCTTCTTCTCCATTATTACCAGTAATAAACATTTTCTTTACCGCCCAAATCAAAATGAAACCACAAAATACCACGAATCCAACTCTAGGCAACTTTTTAGATAGACCAGGATTAAGAGTAAAAGTGCTGAGTCCACTCACAGTGTTGGACTTCTCTTCTCCTGAAACTACAAATTTAGCGACCGAACTATTCTTAGGAAGCAAACTTTTACCAGTTTCCATTTCCCTAGCTAAGACCTCGGCGAATGAAATTTTTGCTTTAACATCCTCATGCTCCTCAATCTTAGCGTTCCGATACAATGTTGGATCAATTCTGCTTCTTTTCAAAATTTCATCCTCATTTACAGCCACCCTTTTGACCTTACCCTCAGAATCTTGAAAAACAGTAAAAATAGAACCAGTACCAATACCCCAAAACTCTGTATCCTTCTTATACTGCTCAACCCAGCTTTCCAATTTATTCCATAAAACAGACTCCCCTAAAGCCTTTGTTTTTAACTCCACCCCAGTATCAGAAACAAGATTCTTGCTTTTTTCATCACCGCTTTCAGAGCCAAATTGAAAACTTTCACTACTTGGATTTTGAATAATGGAGTTTGACATGGTTTTTTCATCATTATTTTCAGAACTAGGGAAGTGAATAATGGGGGTTTCAATTACCTGTTGTTGTTGGCGTTGAGTGAGCTTTTTCCTCAAATAGTTTTGACGTTTGGTACGTCGGCCGAAATGAGCTGAAATTTGGAATCTTGATGGGATGGAGAAGGGACTGTAAATCTTGGAATTGCGTGCTGTAAATGCTGAAGGGGTTCTCTTTTTCCATTGGGAGATGCAGAATTTGGGTGGAAAAGATTGAAGAATTGAGGAGCTGCTTGAGATTGTCAGAAAGCTCATAGTAGTACTCGAAGAGAAGTACTCTGACCTTAAACCCTGATAAAAGCCTCGTACAGTTTTCACGTTGGGTTTCACCGAAAAGTTAAACTCGAAACGCGATCACAATGTTTGTTAAAAATAAAATGAATGTGCAATACTTATCCATCACCAACTCATGCAAAGTTGCATAGTCGGTAAAACAAAAACATATTTATTATATACTCCCTCGGTAATGGTCTTCACCTAAATTGAAACCAAGGGATTTAAAAAAGAATGATCCCTTTAGGTATTGTTTGGATGGTTGTTACCCATCGTATTGTATTGTTATTCAGATATAATGTTTGTTTTGATTGTTCGTATAAAATTGATTGTATTGTATTGTTAAATTCATTGTTCTGAAACAATGAAAAACCCCATTTTATGAAATAACCAAATCGGTGTGGTGGGATTGTTCCGTATTTCTCTTTCCAATTACGCCCATACTAATTATTCTATATTTCAATTTTACCCTTTACCCTATTATTTATGTTATACTTCACCCAACTACGTACTTTGTCTCCGTCTTCTTCCGTTTATTTTTTTGGTTAGTTTTCCCACTCTTTTTTCTGTATTTTTATCTCATCTATAATCTTTGCAAACTTTTTGCTTATTATAATTACATATATAATTTACTTAGGCTTCTACCATTCCAAACTACAGGAACAGAAGGTCCGTTTTTCTATTTTGATGGGGCTATAATTTTTTTTTGTACGAAACCAGTTTGGTGCTTTCGTTACTATGGAAGAATGATGATTCCCTGTGAGGAAGATCGGAAGGTCAAATAAATAAATTATTTTTATGAGAAGTTCTTAAGAAGCATCGTATTTAAAATAATTGAGGGTATTTTAGTAAATATAGCTGTACAGTACAATACAATACAGTCTAACCAAACAATAAAAATATTGTTTAACAACAGCAAACGATACAATCTATCCAAACGTTGTATCCATCAAAACGATACAATACGGTACAGTACAATACAATACAATACATTATAAAACGATGGGTAACAATGATCCAAACAGAGTGTTAGACCCCTTTTTGATTTGTTTAGGACCATAAATTCCAAAAAAATTTATTTTTTCTTAAACTCCGCATCCAGTCAAACAGTTTTACATAAATTGGAATGGAGGGAGTATATAAAATTACATATGAATCCCTTGCTTTAGTTTTACATCCGGAAGTGCTTTTATCGTAAAATGTCATTTATCAGACCTAGAGTAGTGTTGGACTAGTAGCCTGTTTGGCCAAGCTTTTTTTGGGTCCAAAAGTGCTTTTTTGGGCCAAAAGCACTTTTGGCTAAAATTTGAGGTGTTTGGCCAAGCTTTTAGATGAAAAAAAGTACTTTTGAGGAGAAGCAGAAGCAGTTTTTGAGAAGCAGAAAAAAGTAGCTTCTCTCCAAAAGCGCTTTCCTGAGAAGCACTTTTGAGAAAAATACACTTAGAAGCAGTTTTCAAAAGCTTGGCCAAATACTAATTACTGCTCAAAAGTGTTTTTCAAATCAATTAGCCAAACACAAACTGCTTCTCACCAAAAGCACTTTGTTGAAAAGTACTTTTGAGAAAAGCACTTCACAAAATAAGCTGATTTTAGAAGCTTGGCCAAACAGGCTATAGGTAAGCTTTATCTACTGATGGTAGAAGACTAGTAGTTGAAGGAACCCTTCGATGACATTTTCTATCTTGTTCTAAGGATTTTATGTATGTTACCATGTTTCTTAGCCAAATTTGAAGTTCCTCTTTGCTTTCAGTCACCCTTCATTTTTGCTGTCAATCCATTTCGCTGCTACAATTATAATGAAGCCAGAAACTTGCAGTACCGTGTTACAACAAAGAGATGGACTACTTATTATGAATAATAATTAACATATTTAAGGCACATGAAATTGACAAGAAAGCTTATTAATTGATGGATAACAACTTAGCTGTTGTACATCTTTTTGGTGAACCTTCAACATCTTAATTTACTTATGACATAGCCAAGAAAGGAGAAGTAAGAGTCAAACTTGCACTATTGTGTAACAGATGTACACCGATACCACAAGCTATGAGTCTTGGTGCTAACATTGGCCAAAAGATTCAGCACATAAGAATAACAAAACCCAATAGGTTTTGAGATGCAACCCCAGCAATTAACTACAGAGGTTGGGAATGCATGCTCCTTCGTCTGGATTCTGTTGTTCCTTCCATATTCTTCCAGTCACCCGTAGCTTGAGCTCCTTTCTGTCCCCACCAGAGAAGAAAAGGGCCATGTTACGTTGTATTAGGAGCCCGTCGTGGCTATCCCTTACTTTCCTATGACTGTCTCTTATGCTTCGCGGTGTACCTTCCCATATAAGCTTCCTTCCATTTCCCCCTACTTCCAGGCTGTAGCTGTAGTTTCGTGCATCTGTCTCGTCTCCCATAAACCGTAGGAATGCCATGTATACGGGTGCCATCCCAAGCTGAAATGCTTCAAAATGGAGACAGAAGTACTGACCAAAACAGTTGAAAACCTGAAAAAGGTGACACAAAAAGTCACTCCAAATTTAAATATAACTAGCTTTAGAAATAGTTCTGAAACGAGGAACAATAGCACAATAAATGAGGTATGAGATATGACTCGCAATTTTAGTAGCAGGAGCAGCATGAGTAATATCCGGTCAGATACCTCTTTGAGCAAATTTAAACTGAAAAAGTATACGGACAGAGAAGTCATACACTTAATGAGATACAGTGTGAAGACTGAAGAGAATCCTATTGAATGCAATTGCACAACAGATGAAATAACTATACCTTTTATGCAAGGGCTAATATAGTGCCTACTAAAATACTATATACAGAGTGTTAGTAAGACATTACCCAATTTTTACAAGTACAACTATATACAGCGCCTTAACAAAAATTAGATCCTCAATTTTAATAAAGCAGTCAAAGACTCAGTTCTTGACATGATTACTTGAAACCCACAAAAAAGGATATTCAACTTACAGTTAACATCCACGTGGCATTTTCCACCTCCCGAGGATTAGATTTGACATAGCGATGGTTAAAAGTGCATCCAGAGTGCATGTCAACCTTGTGATCATCCTTCAAATGAGTAACCAAATAAGGAATATCACCAACAACTGCACATTCTGACCCAGCATACGGGCAGTTGTATGGTCTAAAATTGCAGGCTGACTCATGTTTCAGCTTACTGTAATAAGGAAATATCTCAGGACATCCAAGAGAGCCATATTTGCAAGGCAGCTCAAGTGATTCAGCCACCTTTTCTAGTGCTAAACATCTGATATCGCCAAGCTCCTGTCTACAAGTGGGACATCGGTTGTGTACCCTCGCTTTACACGTTGAACAGATAGTGTGCCCATTATGACACTGCAGCAACAACATATGAATATGATAAGTATAGTATACTGATGAAAGTGATGACATTGTTAAGATTCATAGAGCTCCCAGTTAACATTAACTAAATTCACTTTGGTTTAATTTGTTGTGATGCTCATTTCAGTATCTGTGTTTTGTGATGTAGCCTCTAAATTTCCACAGAATTCACAACTTTAGGGTTCAAAAATCTCCTTTTAATTAGAGAAGAAGTTAATGCATCACTTTGGAGGCATTAGTAGCTAGAGACTACCCTAAGATGAAAGTGATCTATATGATTCAAACCATAGACATCGTTACACGATACATAAAGGACAAGGGTATTTTCAAAATAATTCAGTTTCCATTCAACTAATAAACTGAACACATAATACAGAAGTACATTCCTGTGCTAGCCATAGTCCAGAGGTATTATAATGATGCTTTTCTACCATCATAATGATGCTTTTCTACCATTATGGTCCAGAGGTATTATAATGATGCTTTTCTACCATTATAGTCCAGAGGTATTATAATGATGCTTTTCTACCATTACCAAAACAATCCTCCGGCGTGATAAGAGACTCCCGAATCTGAAGAAGCTAATCGTGGCCTCACTAGAAATAGAAATACACAAAGTGCAAAAACATATTCCAACTACCAAAGATGGATTTGTGCAAGATGAATATAGAAAAAATCAAATGCCTCAGAGAAAACCTCTAGGTTAAGATAAATAAATAGTACTAAAAATGCTATAGCCTATCAAACCATCAAAGAAAGATGCTTTTAAATATGGAAATTGGTCTTGATTCTAAATCTTTGGCTTTACTCCGGCACTGATTCCTTGGGGTATACTCGGATGCTGACAAGAGGATTTACCCTACTACAATCAGAGTGCTGATAATTTGCAACCCAGTTAAGAACTTAGACTTTTCAGTGCTCACTCTTCTGTTAAAATTTATATCCAGGAAGCTGTTGGGACCTAATTACTTCTGAAATAGTATGATTTAACTGAGCAAAACCCAAATGAAGATAAACTACCAGCTACTAAACCAGAATTGGAGAGGTAAAAGGCCTCATTGGCGCCTTTACTAAGACCGAAAACAACGCGACACCCATCACATTCTGAGTAATGAATATTAATTCAGCACAAATACTCCACCTCAATGCCCAGTCCTAAATTTCTTTCCGCAGCTACCTTTTAATATAAAACTTAACTGGTGTTCCCTGATTTCCTATTTTGAAGGACAGTCAGTCTTCTTATGACCAGCTTCTTTGCACTTCCAGCACTTAATTAACTCCTGTTATAAGTTAAATATATAAACCCGGCACCAATATGTATGCAAGGTGAGTATGCAACTGCTCCCATTAGCCATTGGAGTTGATACCAACATAGACAAGATTTTGGGAAAATAACCTAAAACAAAGCACATCTATTGTAGAAATTTTATACATGGAGAAAGGGATTAGAAACCAGCAGCATGACTCAATAAGTCAAAAGTTGTGGAATCTTTAGGGGAAGTCAAAATTTCTGGATTATTGGTTGATGGCCTTCTTCCTAAATCACTTCAGCGGACTTTTCAGCCATTCCCTAACTCCAAATGGAGAAGAATCCAATGCAAAACAAACTCATGAAACCCATGTAATGCCTCAAGGTCCTAAAAGTAGGAAAAAAAATCCCCAAATCTAATTCATTTACTAACTACCAAAAAATAACCAATTTTACACCATCTCACCTCGCTCTCAGCCTATCCACCCAAATAGAAAAAAATCTATAAAAATTGAAAGAAAAGAAAACTATAATTT